TACTTAAATTTGTCTTCCACCGATGTAAGTGCTCTATATTACAGCAATGCAGTAGCACCACCTCCCTGAGATGTGTAGAGCCAGGGTCGACATACTGAGATCGATGCAGTGAAAGTGTAGACACTGCATTACCTATGTCGACCTTAACAGTCCTCCAGCAGCTGACCTTTAAAACCCCGCAATTTTTTGAAATGCCTATTCCTGATTGGACAGCTTGGCAAGCACACCTAGCAGTCATCTACTATTGTATGTAACTGCCCAACCGACTATGCCTGCTACATGCATCCAGGGGCTCCAGCTATACCTCAAGCCAGTATCGGTTTGAGACTCTACTGCAGTTCAGTCAGTCATGGCACTGAGCACAGGCGAGCCTGATGCGGGGGAAGGAACATCAGGTAACCGTGTAAATGTATGTCCCATTATAATGATATACTGATGGCATCCCTAATGTAGCAGCTATCAACTTTACATTATTTTACTTATACTAGGAGAGGTAGAGGAGTTCTCTGCTTTTCATTGCCCTGTAGTGTTTGAGAAAGGTGGCCATACAGAGCAGTTTGTGTGTATTGTATTCAGGATGTCCCCTGAATACTCCTGAGAGAGCTCAATGAAACATTCCTGGAGGTACTTTGCAGTCCTCTCCCAAAGGTTTCTAGGGATGACAGCCTTATTTCTTCCTCCGCAGTAGGACACTTTCCCACACCAGTGGGTGATAACATTGCCAGGCACCATTGCCAGGCACCATTGCAGCACACAGGCTAGTAGCTTCACATACATTGACCTATGAAAGCTATGGTTGTTGTATGTGTAGCCAAAATGGACATGAACATTCTCTCTCTTTGTTAAGTTCCATTCATGTATTACGATTTTTATGTATTTGCTTTTAAATTGCGCACACACACAAATATTTTTGCACACGGGTTTTGTTACTCAATTAAATTCTATTGTTCGGAAAATAATTCATGTTTATTAATTCCCAGCATGTGCTGCAGAATGCCTACCAGAACTGAAAGCATCCACTTACTTATTACAGTCAGCATGACACAACTCATAGGATCAGTGACAGCGTAATAATCATAAATGTACAGCAAGAACCACCAAATTAATAGGTGCATTGGCAGTGTTATATTCACAGATGTACACCAAGCAGCACACAACTCCTAGCAGTCCCCCAAAACAGCAGAGCCAGGTAGAGCACAGTACACCACAATGCATTACTGAAAGAGCATTTTAACAGTGAGCCACAAGATCTCCCTGAGCTGCACAGCTCTGCACTGAGCCCTCCTAATAACCCTTGCATCTGGCTGCTCAAACTCAGTGGACAGCTGCTTCATCTCCACCCTGGCAGCAACTTTTCCCCTTTGCTTGACAGATACTATGCAAGACATAGCAGGCAGCTATAACCATTGGGATATTTTTCTCACAGAGATCCAATCTGGTGAGTAAACAACGTTAGCATCCCTTCAATCTACCAAAAGCACATTCAGCTGGGATTCTGCACCTGCTGAGCCAATGAATCTCTCCCTTGGTGCTGTCCAGGTGGCCTGTAGACAGCTCCATGAGCCAGGGGAGTAAGGGGTAGGCTGGATCCACCAGGATCATTATTAGCATTTCAATATCACCAATGGTAATCCGCTGGTTGGGAAAGAAAGTCCCTGCTTGCAGCTTTCTGAACAGTCCTGCATTCCTAAAGATGCGAGGATCACGCGCATTCCTGGACCAGCCCATGTTGATGTTGGCGAAGTGTCCCCCATGATCCACCAACACTTGCATAACCATAGAGAAGTATCCCTTTCTGTAGAGGTACTCTGGGACAAGATGGGATGGTGCCAAAATCATACAGCCACCGCAGTTATTAAATTGTTTGTGCGCGCACACTTGGCTTCTTGTGTCGGCGGTGCGCGTCCTCCCCAGGAGCACTTGTGTCGATCGTACTATCAATGCGGGACAGATCCTGAAACCCAGTAACAGTTGACATAAGCAATGCAGTGTCTACACTGACACCGCGTCAACCTAATGACATCGACCATGGCTCTATGCCGCTTGAGGAGGTGGCGTTACTAAATCGGCGTAAAGAGGTCTGTTGTGAGGAGCCAAAGTTAAGCGAAGACGCTTTCACAACTAGGTCGACGCAAGGCAACTTACTAACCATGTAGTGTAGACCAGGACTGAGTTTCAAGCCTTTTTAGGCAGGGTCAGGATTGTGCATGCCTTTAGGAAGCAGGCCTATCCCCACAGAACACAATGCTGAAGGTGGCTGTCCATCTCTGGAAATTCAGGGTCAGGAGTTCTGTACCCACTGTGGGAAATAGAGAACTGCCTGGGGACCAATCAATGAACATCCCTATAATCAAACTGCTGCAACTACTGAGAAATGTCTCACAAACAATGTCTTCTGTCTATACATACTCTGAGCCTCTTCAAATAAGATGAATTAGTTCATCATTCCCTCTGAAGAAATGTCACAGTAATCTAAATGCCAGGAGGACTGAAATTACAGCCGTCAGGAGCCTACATCTAGAACCCACTGTGATAACCGGCCTTACATCCCAATTACACAAAGCAGCACCATAAGTCTCTTGCTTTTTCAGTTAGTAGGCTGGTTCCCCTATACATTTCAAATCACCCCAAGACTACCAACATCTCCCTTCCTTTCCCCCTCATCAGGCCATTTAAAGACTCTATTGATACACTGGTTTGACCACTGCTGACATATACCAGTGAACAGTGCCTCAGGTTTGTTGATCACAGCAGTCTCTCTCCAGAACAAGCACAAGGGCATCTGCTTAAGAAGCCCTTGGGAAAAGATGCCAGAAACACAGAGCTCTTTGACAGCCACCTCTTAAACGGTGGAACACAAACACTTCTGCCCCCACTGAAAGCTTCGCCGTTAAATCTAATTTAACCCACATCTCTACAGTCCCATGGCAACAGATGCCCCTGATTTATTTGGATGCCAATTAATTATCCTGGGGAGGGTAAGAGACACAAAGGATAAAGAATCACATGGCATTGGCAACACAGATGTTTGTCATTGCTAGGAGAGCAGCTAGAAGGCCTGATAAAAATGTTTCACGTTAACAGATAAGTTAACACATCAGTCTGGTTCCTATTTTCCTTTGCAAACCAATACTCAGGAGCAACTTTTAGGTGAACCTAGAGTCTTGAAGGCTGTGGGGATTCAGGTCTGGATGTCCCAACCTAAATTCCCTGTAAGCTGCGCCTATTAAGCGCTGCACAGGCACTCAGGGAACCCGCCCGGCCAGGACCTGCCACGGCCGGGGGAGGGGTGCCTCTCCCCCAGTCCAATCCCAGCCCCAGACCTGCCACAGCAGGGGCACCCCTCCCCCAGCCCTAACCTGCCACGGCCAGGGGAGGGGCACCTCTCCCCAGCCCCAACCCAGTCCAGAACATGTGTGGGAAAAATTTGAGGGAACCCTCCCAACTCTCTTTAACCAATGACAGGCAATCGCCTCTTCAGTTCAGATTTGTGCAACCTTCAGGCTGGAGCTTGGTAGTCACATTCTGGGATCTCTGGACCTCCCAGTTTGAGGAATTCACCAATCAGAAGAATCAAATGACCTTGTCCCATGGACTATAGACAAATATCCCTCCGTAAGCAGAATTAATGACATTGAACAAGCCTCCCATTCATAGGAGAAAGGAAGAAAGGAAAACGATGGATGGCGCAAAACAGAAGTGGCGGGCTGGGAGCCTTTGCAGCCATACAGGTCCCAGGGAAGAGTGAAAGGAAAAAAATCAAACAGAACCTTTTTATTTAAGCAACACATTTATACCGTCAGGCAAAAAAATCCTTTCCATAGGACTTTTGGGGCCGGACAGCTTGGAAGTTACAGATTTATTGATTCAGTAAGAATCAGGGTTTCTCCCTGCTCTGTGGAGGCATGCGTTTCTTGTTAAGTTCTGATGGTGCAAGGGGCTGTCTCCAATCCATGCAGTGACAGCAGGAAGCATTTAGTCTGAGGAGATGCTGTCCTCTTACTGCAAGGTGTTGCTTTCTGTGTCTTTAACCCTGAGGTCAGATACTGGCAGGAAGGAAGCATTTCCCTGACAGAGACTATTATCCCACCCAGTAATTTTTGTTGAGCACCACACACCCTGTATTGTTTACACCATACAAGAAGGAAGTTAAATGCAGAGATAGGGAAATAGAGAACAGCCCTTATGGTGTAAATAAGTCAAATGCTCTGCGTTTTAGAAGAGCAGGGCTAAGCCCCAAAAGCCCATGAAGTGCTCTTAAAACTCCACTTGCAGATCCACACCCATTCTTTTCCCAGGTAGCTCCCCTCTCCTGTTCTATAACACAACCCAAAGGACTCCTGGCAGGCAATACAGGCCCATCATTTAAGTGTTTGATAAGCAAAGGTCTCTATAAGTTCCATGGTGAAAAAAAATCTTCCCATGATGTAAATTCTCCCATCATGTGTGCAACCCAAACTCTGCACCCTTGGGCTAGGACAGGGGCCCCAAAAGAGGGACCTGGCCGGCTGCGTACCACCCAAACAGTGATAGCAGCAATCAAACTGCACAGGTGAGGCCCAGCAAGCTCTGTCTGAAGTAATAACTTCACATTCAATAACACAAGGGGGTGTGTTGCGGATGGGCGTTAACTGGTCAGTGTACCTTGGGACTGCGCTGATCACACCTACACAACTGCATCACACAGTGGCCTTTAACCTCCAACCTTCCCAAGGCCCCGGGGAACGGGTGCAGGGTGAAAGCACCTCCTGGGGGGCAGAATCGGGGGCCAAGCCCCAAACCTGAGCACCGCCAAGGGGGGCCAGGGCCCAGGGGAGAGCGCGATGCTCAGGGGCGCTGGGAGGAATGGAGGGGGCTGAGGCCCGGGGGGAGCGCTGGGGGGCTGAGAGGAGGTTGATGCGGGGACAGGGCGGGGGGTCGAGGCCCGGGGGGATGGGGGAAGGGCCGGGGGTCGAGGCGCTGGGGGGAGGGGGGACTCCCCCGGGCCGAACCGCCCTTACCGGACTTGGGCGGGTACCGATAGGCCGAGTTGGCCTGGATGTCGATGTCCTCCACGCCCGCGATGCGCCGGCTCAGCAGGGAGCCCATGGCGGGACCGGACCGGACCGGCCGGGGACCCAGCAGCGGCGAGAGCGGCCAGCGAGAGCCCCGGACCCACCGACTCGCACCACCACAGCCAGTCGCGGGGCAGCACGGGAAAGCGAGTCCGCCCGCCCCGTCGCGCAAGGCAGCCCCCGCCCCCTGGGACTACAACTCCCAGCAGCCACCGCGCCCGGTCCGCCACACTACAGCCCGACGGCTCGGCCGGGCCGTACCAACAGCGCAGTTGGAGGTGCGAGTAGGGGCTGTGCGTGCCGCCTCACCCAATGGACTCTTCCGGGAGTGTGGGAGCTGTAACGCGCACAGCCGCCAGCAGAGGGCGCTGCCTCCTGTCCGGCAGACCAGAGCAGCCTGGGAAGATTGAGCTTACTGCAGCGGGGTCAGCTGGAGCAGCCGTGGGCTGCGGACAGCCCCACGCCGGGCCCACCCCGGACCGGCAGGGCGATGGGGATCTCTGATAGGGCCCACCAGGATGGCTGGACAGGGCGACGGAGCCTCCCCGCACTGGGATCCCCGTAGCATAACCAGACCACCCCCAGCACGGTGGGGGAGGGTGACAGGGCGCCCCCAGGCAGAGCATCCTAGGGCATGCTACATATAAAATGATGGGGTCTAAATTAGCTGTTACCACTCAAGAAAGAGATCTTAGAGTCATTGTGGATAGTTCTCTGAAAACATCCACTCAATGTGCAGCAGCAGTCAAAAAAGCAAAGACAATGTTGGGAATCATTAAGAAAGGGATAGGAAATAAGACAGAAAATATCATATTGCTTCTATATAAATCCAGGGTACGCCCACATCTTGAATACTGTGTGCAGATGTGGTTGCCCCATCTCAAAAAAGATATATTGGACTTGGAAAAGGTTCAAAAAAGGGCAACAAAAATGATTTGTGGTATGGAACGGCTTCCGTATGAGGAGGGACTGGGACTTTTCAGCTTGGAAAAGAGACGACTAAGGGGCATATGATTGAAGCCTATAAAATCATGACTGGTGTAGAGAAAGTAAATAAGTATTATTTACTCCTCATAATTCAAGAACTAGGGGTCACCAAATGAAATTAATAGGCAGCAGGTTTAAAATAAGGCTGTCGATTAACTCAGTTAACTCACATGATTAACTCAAAAATTAATTGTGATTAATCACAGTTTTAATTGCACTGTTAAATAATAGAATACCAATTGAAATGTATTAAATATTTTGGATTTTTTTTACATTTTCATATCTATTGTATTTGGTGTTGTAATTGAAATCAAAGTGTGTATTATTTTTGCTTACAAATATTTGCACTGTAAAAATGATAAACAAAAGAAATAGTATTTTTCAATTCACCTCATACAAGTACTGTAGTGCAAGCTCTTTGTCATGAAAGTGTAACTTACAAATGTAGATTTTTTTTGTTACATGACCACTCAAAAACAAAACAATGTAAAACTTCAGAGCCTACAAGTCCACTCAATCCTACTTCTTGTTCAGCCAATCGCTCAGACAAACAAGTTTGTTTACATTTATGGGAGATAATGCTGCCCGCTTCTTATTTACAATGTCACCAGAAAATGAAAACAGGCATTTGCATGGCACTTTTGTAGCTGGCATTGCAAGGTATTTACGTGCCAGATATGCTAAACATTCGTATGCCCCTTCATGCTTTGGCCACCATTCCAGAGGACATGCTTCCATGCAGATGATGCTTATTAAAAAAAATAAGCATTAATTAAATTTCTGACTGAACTCCTTGAGGCAGAATTGTATGTCCCCTGCTCTGTTTTACCCGCATTCTGCCATATATTTCCTGTTATAGCTGTCTCGGATGATGACCCAGCACATGTTCATTTTAAGAACATTTTTCACTGCAGATTTGACAAAACGCAAAGAAGATACCAATGTGAGATTTCTAAAGATAGCTTCAGCACTCAACCCAAGGTTTAAGACACTGAAGTACCTTCCAAAATCTGAGAGGGATAAGGTGTGGAGAGTGCTTTCAGAAGTCTTAAAAGAGCAACACTCTGATGCGGAAACTACAGAACCCGAACCACCAAAAAAGAAAATCAACCTTCTGCTGGTGGCATCTGATTCAGATAATGAAAATGAACATGCGTCAGTCCACACTGCTTTGGATTCTTATTGAGCAGAACCCGTCATCAGCATGGAAGCATGTCTTCTGGAATGACGGTTGAAGCATGCGAATCTTTAGCACATTTGGCACGTAAATATCTTGCGACGTCAGCTACAACAGTGCCATGAGAACACCTGTTCTCACTTTCAGGTGACATTGTAAACAAGAAGCGGGCAGCATTATGCAAATGTAAACAAACTTGTTTGTCTGAGCGATTGGCTGAACAAGAAGTAGGACTAAGTGGACTTGCAGGCTCTAAAATTTTACATTGTTTTATTTTTGAATGCAGGTTTTTTTGTGCATAAGTCTACATGTGTAAGTTCAATTTTCATGATAAAGAGATTACATTACAGTACTTGTATTAGGTGAATTGAAAAATACTATTTCTTTTGTTTTTTTACAGTGCAAATACTTGTAATAAAAATAAATATAAAGTGAGCACTGTACACTTTGTATTCTGTGTTGTAACTGAAATCAATATATTTGAAAATGTAGAAAACATCCAAAAATATTTAAATAAATGGTATTCTATTATTGTTTAACAGTGCAATTAATCGTGATTAATTTTTGTAATCGTGCAATTAATTGCGATTAATTTTTTTAATTGCTTGACAGCCCTAGTTTAAAACAAATAAAAGGAAGTATTTTTTCACACAACACACAGTCAATCTATGGAACTCTTTGCCAGACAATGTTGTGAAGGCCAAGACTATAACAGGGTTCAAAAAAGAACTGGATAAGTTCATAGAGGATAGGTCCATCAATGACTATTAGCCAGGATGGGCAGGGATGGTGTCCCTAGCCTCTGTTTGCCAGAAGCTGGGAATGGGCAACAGGGGATGGATCACTTGATGATTACCTATCAGAGGGGTAGCCGTGTTAGTCTGGATCTGTAAAAAGCGACAAAGAGTCCACTACATGCGTCTGACGAAGTGGGTATTCACCCACGAAAGCTTATGCTCCAATACGTCTGTTAGTCTGTAAGGTGCCATAGGACTCTTTGTTGCTTTTTGATGATTACCTGTTCTGTTCATTCCTCTGGGGCACCTGGCATTGGCCACTGTCGGAAGACAGGATACTGGGCTAGATGGACCTTTGGTCTGACCCAGTATGGCCGTTCTTATGTTCTTATGACATGATCTGCAGGCTGGGGGCATTACAGAGACAGGTAGACCTTGCTGCCAGAGTAAGGGATTGTTCTTGCCCTGCAGTGCTCAGCCACGGGCAGGGTGCTAGCTGCCGGGATCCCACAGGCATGGGGCCATTCCCCCAAAGGGGCCTGGCACTCTCTGTGCCTACTAGCTTTGCCTGGATCAAGGGAGACCCGTCAGGTACTCAGTGCAGACCCAGGGATGTCATGGGAGGAATGGGTGAGGTTGGAGGGGACGTGCCCTGGACAGGAGATGGCTTGGGCTGTGGAATCGTCTCCCACAAATGGCCTGGGAGCCCCTCACTTGGGACAGTTGACACCAGACCAGTGAAGCACTGGCAGATATGCAATAGGGAGCAGTCCTGTCCCAGCCCAGGAATGGAAGGAGGGGGGTCAAGGATGATTCCAGCTCTGACTGCTGACAGGTGATGGATGTTGCTGGAAATGCTACTTCTCTGCTGTGGGTCCTGCGGAGATGACTGGCCCCCGGGAGGCGCCATCACAGTCCAGGCAGCTGATTAGGGTGCAGTGTCTAGCTTGGATCGTGGTGGGCTTGGCCTCGGACTATGCTAGGGCACATAGTCTCCAGGGACCCTCGCTGTGACTTGAATGGAAATACAATGCTCTGTGTTCATGCTAACTAAAACACCCACCCAAGGAACAGGTGCGTCACATGACTTTTACTGCCTCCCCTCATACAAAGTTCTCAGTGATCCGCCCAGGATGGGTCCCCATTGTGCACTTTGATCTGCAATTGTCTCCTGCCGGAAACCTGTGGAGGCAGCCTCTTTCCAGCCTGGGGACTCACATCACAGCACCCATCTCTGGGCCTGATCCTGCAAAGGGCTGAGTGCCCGCAGCTCCCATATTCGCAGGAAGAGGAGGATGCTCAGCACCTCCCAGGATCTGGCCCTATGTGAGGGCTGCACCGGCAGGACATGTGAGAAGCTCAGAAGTACCTAGCGCCTCCCATATTTGTTTAGATACATTCACCTGGGCCGTGTTACCAGAGATGCAGCTAACCTTCAAAGGGACCAGAGATTCACCAGTTCAGACTTCTCATCAACGGGCCAACCCAGCTCCCCAGCTGGTGTCAATCACTGTAGATCTATAAACTCAATGAGCTACGGTGATTTACCTCGGCAGAGGAGATGGCCCTCCATAGGAAGGGGTCCAGAGCAGGGGTGCCAGAACAGGAGGAGCTGAGCGCCAGGGCCAGCTCTGGCTTTTTGGCCATCCCAAGCAAAAAAAACAACCTGCAGCGCGGCCGGAGCGCGGGTGCAGGGGGATCAGCTTGTGGGGGGAAGGAGGAGGGAGCGGGCGGGAGAGAGAGAGAAGAGGCGACCAGGGCTACAGCAGGGGCGCTGCCACGCGGCCCCTCCCGCTGCGCCGCCTCTTGCCGCCTGCCACGAGGGCTCCGCTCCGGTCGGCGGGGAGAGAAGGAAGAGGACTGCCCTGCAGGGTGCTCCGGTCCTCCGCGCCGCCGCCCCCTAAAGGGCGGCCGGAGCGAAACAAACAAACAAAAAAAGTGGCCGTGCCACCCTAGGATTGGGCAGAATGCCGCCTCGAACAATCTGCCGCCCCAAGCACCAGCTTGCTCAGCTGGTGCATGGAGCCGGCCCTGCCGAGCGCCATGCCCTTCGCACTTTTAAAAGAGGCAGGGCTATGCCCTTCCACTTTTTATTGGCCCTAAGGACGAACGACTGGAGGGGGCGGGGTTTTGGGGGGAAGGGGCTGTGTGGAAGCAGGGCTTCTGGGGACGGGGCAGCATAAGGGCAGGAGCTTGGGGAGAAGGGGCAGTGTAGGGGTGTAGCCTCAGGGGAAGGGGTAGTGTGA